TTTTTTTTTGCAAATTTACTGGAATTTTTTTGGAGTTCTGCCTGAAAAGCAATCTTGAATTGTTAACACTAAGCTGATCAAAGGGTGGCATTCGCTTACCTATTCACATTTTTCGAAATCATTGCGCCAGAGAAGGTCGCAAAAGAGTCGTTGGGGCAAGTTTGAGAACCACCTTGTTTTGGAAAGCTGCATCTTCCATATGACCGAAAATGACCAGAAAGAATGGGGATTGTTGGAGGCAAGGTCTGTAAAGCACAGTAAAGATTGAAGCTCAAAAAAACTCCATTGGATGGCTTACTGAAACTGATGTGTCGTGCAAGGCCAAAACTGAACTTTATTAATCGTTCTTTCGTAGTACTACAGGTCATTGCATCCTTGTTATGAGCGGAAAAGATACGAAAATATTCTCCTATTTTTTGATCTCGATTAAAGACATACGATAGAATGTCGAAAGTGCTTCTTTGTCCAATTTTCATTTCTCAACTCGGGGATCATAACAGAATCAAAGGACTTGAGAAAAGGTGGAGGGGTTTTTTTGTTTTTGTAGAATAGGAAATCTCTTTAAAGATAAAACTTAATCTGGTCAATAATCCGAAGAATTGTGATCAGAATGGGGTGTAGTGTGTGTGTGGAATTCAGAAAAAAATCACAGTCACTTGTTTCGAAGAATTAATTGATCATACTCTTCTTATCTTGCTTCAATGGAACATGCCAGCCTTTTTGTTGTTTCGTTAATTCATAAGTTAGTCCCCTTTTCGGCTTAACGGCTTTGTAAAAGCCGTTGCTTTCGTTATTAAGAAAGTTTCCAGTATCTTCACATTTACGGTTCTGCCTACATTGAAATAAAGAAGAGAAGGTACTGCTAGAGCCTATTCAAAACAATTTATAATCTAATCAAACCTTTTCAATGACTTTTTCTTGTGCTTCAAAAATAATGGGTTTACCTGCTGTTGTACCATGGTACCCACGATGTCATGGTAGGCCATTTCAAAGGTAGAGGAAACGGAACTCAATAATTGTCATCGAAAACTGCTATACGATACTTCGTTCATTACACTTTGCTTTATTTCCATTTGCTTCGTTGTTGGGTATCGTTTTGTCAGTGCCACACCCAAATTTAGCCTGTCCTCGAAATCCTGTAGCAGGAACCTAAAAGCATTCGCTGACAAAGAATCAACGCACTGCAGAGCACTATATGGCTATCATACTGTATCATTTATTGATTTGCATCACCGAGTGGCAATTTCTCATTCCAGTGTGTGCTGTAAAGCATAAAATTTCAGGTGTTGAAATTTTCAACCTTTTTCTTTCCCATGCTAAATTTGTGTGGTTGTCTCATAATGCTACATCTCCATTTTGTACTCAATGTATTCATACAAAGACATAGACCCATTTCGTATACTATATCGCTGTATGAGTAATCGTAATTCGGCATTTCACAATGTACAACTAATACAACAATCAGGCACATGTTACAGGTAATAAGGATCTCCTATGGCTGACTACCCCAAAATGTCCTGGTGTCTGCTTGTCCAAGTAAGATATATTGCTCAATTATGTATCTTCTTGCCACTCATGCTTGTTCCAACATTTGAACATTTCAGATTGTTGCTTTATCCGTTTGTTCTGCATATCCGCAGCTGTTCGATTCACACCTTGAAAATCCGTACGTTGTTTTTCTGACTATCATTAGTTCAGCGAAGTTTTAACTTGCCAGAAGTTCAAATTAGTAACTTTCGTGAGAATCAGTTGATAGCTAATAACACGCATGAGAAACAAATTTTGCCCTTTTTTAATTACTATATATGATCAAAACAGGCAGTAATTTTGATTCTGTGCATAAGAATATTTTCCAACATCTTTGCTATCCTAGAGTTAGCTTATGCCACGGCATGCGATGTATAAGTGTGATTCCTGTTTAATCGCTAATAATTTTTTTTTATTCCAGATTATTTTCTGGCTTTTGTAGTTCGTTTCAAAGCACTAGCTTGACCTTAGATTTTTACTTATAAACGAAATTTCCATCGACCTTTATTACGGTGGCGTTACGATTTAAAATTGTATGTGGTTTTGAAGGTGGTGTTAACTTACCGCCACATTACAGAAAACTTTACAGCATCACATGATTATCACATTTGGGCAGCGTACCAAAACACATTGAAAAACAAGGTTCCAGTTTTCTTATAACTATCTTGGGCCTAGCGCCAACAACGCCTTAGGTCACTGCTAAAGCCAGGTTCTGTGTGACCCGCAGTTGTGAAAAAACATGTAAAATCTGCTCGCTATTAATAAGCTAAGTGTGAGCTACCACTTCAAAATCAGCCATTGGGGCTGATAAAAGACTTGAAAATTAAAGAGCTATCAAATCTGATCGCTTTTCAAAGGAAACGCTGCGGGTAAAACCATTATTTTTCAAAAATACCATAATATAACTTTCACCGGCTACAGTAATCCTGGAAAATGACTGGCATTGAAAACTTAAACATTAGTCTATGATTAGGGTAATATATTCCAAAACATTTAACTATAAGATTGTCCGGAAATAGGACCATTTTTGATGTTTTTATAGCGGCGTTGCTAAAATTCGTCCCCTTTTCTAGCCATGTAATATCATATAATGAACAAGTAGTAAGCTGCCAAAAAACGAACATAATCTTCATTTTGAAGGGGCTGTTCAACTTATAAAACTTGCTACACGTTTTAATACACTGGCTATAAAACACTGATTTTAAAACCGATACATGAGCTTTTGAAGGTTAAGGCTAGGATTCAACTTTGAAAAATGTATTTTAGAGACGTAACAAGACGACTTGCGAAGCGAGCGTTTGACCGTCTCGAAGGGAACGAATTTGGGCTTTTCAAAAGAGTCGTAGACAAACGCGCTTTCGACAGGTCACTTTCATTGAGGATCATCCGAACATTTTGTTTTATCTTGTCTCAATTCAGACTAGATTATGCTGACTTCGGTCTGAGGAGGAAGCGCGAATTTGACCGAATAGCTAGAGCAGAGTTTGGCCTCACTGGTCTCCGTAGAAAACGATCGTTCGATATAGCTTTCGATGACTATGGATTGGGAGACAAACGAGCACTCGATCGCATTGGTGGTTCGGAATTTGGACTTATCAAGCGATCCGTCGACCATTACTCAGGCCGAGGTATGTTACTTGCACATGATTGCGTAATTCATATTTAATATTATGTGCTTTGAAAGTAAGTGCTAGTGAACGCCGCCGATCCAACCGGAACTTGATGATTTTGATGGTAACAGATGTAACACTTTGCAAAATGCGGGCCAAGTCAAAGTAAGGTCAGAATGTAATAGGGACCGTCGAATAACCCTTCGCTGGAAAAAATTTGATTTTCTTTTTTTTTCTGGTATTATGTAGCATGATGCATATCTTCTCAAAACAGCAACAATGTTAGAGACAGTGCAACTTAAAAGGTGCGCAACAAAGCAGAAATTCTAATGATTTGAATGAGTAATACCATAAAAGAATGGAATTTTGAAATTTATTGCTACTAACTTTATTGCGCATTGTATATTCGTGCTTACTCCAACCTGATTTTGCGAGATAGTTTATTATGAAGTAAAAAATAATTTTCGAAAATTGAAAGTGTGGTAAGGTTTTACAGATACGTATAATTCTTTGCAATCATTTAAACCGGTCAAAATTTATGAGGGTCTATCAAATTGTAACGTTTCAAGACAAAATCGTGAAAACTTAAAAGTGATACGTTAAGCGAAGGTTCTTCCAGACTTTTATCATATGCAACAGTGGTTTGCAGTTGTTTTTATGCATAATCCGAGTTTCCTAAAATTTGACTGTTACGGTTCACCTAACGCCACAAAATGTTTGTATAAAACAAAAAAACTTTGAACGCTAAAAACGTTCGATATATTTGGCGAACCTCGGGGAAGGCGAGGGCTTATCAACATAAGCAAGTTATGCGGATATTTTTGTTCACCATTGTCAAAAGTCGTATAAACGATGCTAAACAATCGCCTTATATGAAACCGTGAAGGATCAATTCAAATTGCTTGGGCGTATGCTATGGAACTGAGCAGTGCGTATGTCCAACCTGCGAATAGACTAGCCCCTATCGCTCAAACAATGTATAAATGTAAGCTACTTCCAGAAGAACTCATTAATGACCTTGCCAACTCAATCGCTGCATTACGCCATGGATTATTAGCAGAAAGTGAGACATCGGATATTTTGGAAGGTCCTGTTAACATGGAAGAGAACTGAACACTTCATACGATTGTCACCTAATTCCTCTGATTCCATTCTCGTTTGTGTTCTTGAGTCTAGCTCACCTTCAACTTGATGAATCTCAACTTTTCTCCTTGATCTCACTCTTTGATCTCCATGTCTAGCATTACTAAAATGTTATATGTTATTATCTTTGTTTAACATCTGTTTTCCTACTTGTTTGTTTATTTTCATTCAAATATGGAAACTTTTGATTGTCGAATAGCTCTGCTACATGAATAGAATACTTTTAGTTGTGTAGACTCCCTTATTTTATAATGGTCTCAAAACAGAAGGTGTGCGGATGAAGCTATGCTGTTGTTCGGTCTTCATTCATGATATGCAAACTTCGTTTCAACGACAAAATGTTTGTTTGTGACTTCGTTCAGAAACTCTTGTATAGGACCGTATATTCGGTTTAGAAAGTGATATGCCTAAGAAAGGCATTTTTAAAGGGTTGTCAGAAAAGAGTGACGGATAAACAAAACGTGTTTGATCCGTTAGAAAAAAGCACTTTCGTTTGGAGTTTTCTCATATGAATATCCAACTTTTTGCTACACGAATCGCTTAATTTGCAAAAGATTCACGTTGAGAACACAAACAATTGTATTCCACTTTTTTACTGACATGGATGTCATGACAGCTCTCCCTCTATAGTCATCAGTAGCGTACGGAAGCCTTTGTTATACGTGGGAGCTGCAGGTTGAGTGCTTGTCGTTTAATGCTCAAAGCGAAAGTTGTTGGGCAGGCACAAAGGGCTTCCGCCTATCTATGTCATTTGCAACGGAATTTCTCCTTTCCTGCTATTTTAAAGTTATCTATAGAGCGCATAAACTTTATCACTTTCTTGCAGTTGATTGAAATTGCAAGCTTTTCATCCAATCGTTAACGGCAAATGCAGTTAGTACCAGAAGGGTTCGGAGTGTAATAATATTTCAGAAATATCTTGAGGATAATGTTCTTCTAGATTGTTGTACGTCAGTTCAAGAAACGGCTTAGAGAAAAACTTAGTTGCTCTTTTCTTATTCTCATCATACAGAATATGAGATACCAGAATGTTTTGTATACTATTCTCGTATTTACTATTTTTTGCTACAAATCTGTTTGCACAAATCGTGCGAATTTTGTACTGCTCCCTGTCAACATAAAAGGCTTTCTCATCCTCTACTGCGCATCGTGCAAAACTATTTAAGCGGATAGATAGTTCAAGTCTTTACATCTTACGTAAGAGATCCTGTATTTTTGGGCTAGGACAAATCTAACGAAGTATGTGGTCAATACCGTTAAAAAAAGGTGAGATTACGCAGTGCGATCAAATTCTGACTTTGGACTGCGACTTTTTAAGACGAGCAAATTCAAACGACAAGCTACGCATTGTGAATGCTAGTTCAACGCGTGGTTGCTAGTTATGCTGTGGATTTCCTTATTAGGATAGCCATCAAACTTAGTTCAACAAGTCAAATTCCTCTCCCTGAGATATCCAATTTCATACTTTCTCATTTTGTGAGCTCTCATTTTCCGCCAAACTGTACTAATGCACTTGAATAAAAGTCGTCATTGAAAATTGTCCGGCTCGTTTTCACCAACTTATTGCGTAGATAATTTGGTAATGCTGATATTCTTCCCATATGAAGGGATCTACAACGCACAAGAATGGTGGGATGGAGAAAGTCAAGGAGAGGACCATTAAATTCCGCACTACTGATGTTTTTTGCAACTTTCTGGCCAAAGAGAAAATGACAGGTTTACTAGGGAGATGGGGGAAACCATCATTTCCTACTAAAAAGCAATCCATTGTCTTCCATATGATTGAGAAGAGCGAGTTGAATATGTTTGAGGCAGCCGTTCTTACATTGTAGGCTATTCAGAATGAAAAGGAGTCGGCGTACCAAAAAAAGACAAGCGCATTTTGCCGTAGGCTAATGAACGATCCAAACTTGTGCCAGAGTACTATGAACTTGCAACCAGGTAAATTCTGGGCCAAAGTGGCGACCGCTTGCAGTGTGAACGAAGTTCTTGACTTGTAACTAATGGTTTGTCAAGTAGGCTGAGAGGAATGTAGAAGAAATGATGCACCTAAGCGAGTCCTTTATAGTAGCATAGTTCGACTTTAAAGCGGATGCTTAGTTGCTCGCCGAGAGCCCAAATTCTATAAGCAGTGCTTATAGGGAAGAAATGCTTGCTCAACTGAGGATTTTGAATGAGGTAGACACTGTCATCTAATTTCAAGCGCGGACTCTAAATCTGCTTTCCATATCCTTGAAGCGCCTTTTTTAAAAAGCTATGGACGCTTTTATCTATGAATTGGTCTGCAGAACCTGGACTAAAATGCTCAAAAATTCGAACTTGACTAGAAACAGTAGCGCAAAGGGGCAATGTTGATAAAAGCACGTCTTCATTTGAATTTTTCTTGTTGTTTTTGATTGAATTTGATGTTGTAGAGAAACCTTGTCAACGAGCGTAGACTAATTTCAGCAAAAAGAACCTTTCATAGCTTCTTAAACAACGCTTTCCAGATATGGAAGTCAAATTTGGAATCATCGTCTGAAGTGCGTTTATCAATATAACCTTTCCTTCAATCGCCATCGACCAAGTTTCTTTCCCATTTCTCCCCATCCTGCAGAGGAAAGGGAAAGATGCAACTTGCTCAACCCACACTGCAGAATAACGTTTATCCTCTTGATGTTAACTTAGGGCAAACAAGTTGAGTTATATTGTCATCAGTGCACCTCTCCTTCGGAGAGGCTCGCACTGGAGAGCTAGGTTAACACTTTGAAAAAGTATTGAACTTAATCCAATAAATTATCATATGCGCACCTCTTCTGAATTTTTTGAAAGTTTGGTCTTACCTTTCAACGTCTTATTGAAGAACAAAGACGCAGACTCCTTTTATCCCGACCGCAAAGCCCGTTCATAACAAAACGAATTGAACAACCAACTTACCACGTTTTCCCAACAAAATTGCTCATGTTTACTTATTGTACTGCAGTTAACATGATAACGCTTGATAACTGCTCTTTGACTTTCTTAGGAC